GCGCTCCCCCCACCGGGGGGGGGGGCTCCCCCGCGCTTACCGTGTAGCGCGGGGCCGGCGCGGGGGGCTCCGGGCTCGGCCGGGCTCGGCTGGGTCGGTCCCGGCGTCACACAATGAAATCAGCGGCCCCGATCATTAATTCTCATCATGATCGTGACGTGCGCGCAGACAGCGGCCAATGGCGCGCTGCGATCAGCGCGGCCCGGACGGCGCCCGCCCCCGCCGCCCGCCGGGGGGGCGCGCACGGGAGCGCCGGCACCGTGAGGGGACGGGGCGGCCGCAGGGCTGGCCCCGCTGCGGCCCCGGAGCCCCGCACCGCCCCCGAGCCCCGCACCGCCCCCGCGCCGCGGGCCCGGCCGGCATCACCCCTGGGAGTGCTCCTGGAAAGCCGTCCCTGAGATTTCGGGTGGGGAGAGACAGGGAGGGAGTTCGCGATCCGTGGAAATGTCCCCCAGAGGGTGGTGCCAGGCTCTGCCCAGGGACAGCACAAGGAGCAGTGTCCATAAACTACAGCGCGAGAAGTTCCAGCTCAACACCAGGAAAAACTTCTTTCCGTGAGGGTGGCAGAGCCCTGGGAGGGTGTGGAGTCTCTGGAGACATCCCAAACCCTCGCGGACACCTTCCTGTGTCACCTGCTCCAGGTGCCCCCGCCTTGGACTGGGTGACCCAGAGGCCCCTTCCAGCCCCATCCATCCAGTGATTCTGTGCGCGGCCATCCCTGTGACCCCACTGCATTGTGCAGCCTGGGCTCACAGGGAGACTGCCCGGTGAAACCCAAAAAGCTCCATGAAGGACCACGGCCAATATTATGGCACTCAAGAAACCTTTTCTTTCTCAGGATGGATACATTTGGTCTGGGAAGGGAGGAAATGCCAGTGTGTCCAGGTGGAAGGGAGTGTTCAGGTGGGGCAGACACCTTCTCAGGGCCACGGCTGGGGCTGGTGACAGCACAAAGCACACACACTCACTCCTGTGTCCTTACAGGGACCCAGGTACGGCCAGGTGCGTCAGTGCCAGCCCTCCTTCGGGCTCCATTTCCCTTCCAAAAGGAAACCTCCTCAGTAAAAGAGCAGGAAGCACGCTGCTGACCCATTCTGGTGGATTGTGTGGTAGAAATCATGTAAAATCACTGTTTATTGCCTCGGCTGTAGGAGCACTGAGAAGTCAGAAGCAGATTTGAGACCTGTGTTCATTCCAAAGCCTCCAGACAGGCCACATCCCTACTCCAAATAGTTTCCTCTGAAAGGCACCATGTTCAAATATTAAACAGGCAATTAATTTTGCACGATGCTTTAATCAGAAATACCAGTAAATATTTCTGCAGGACTGAAATAAAAGAATTGCTGCTGGTTCTCTGTAGGCAGGGAGGAGAAAAGCAGACAGTGTTTATGTTTATTTTAAAATTGCAAGAAGTTGTTTACATTGTGTAAAAATTTTAACAGGGGTTCTGAACTAGTGGTGGCATCCCTTTGGGGAGTTGGGAACAGATGATCATTAAGATCATTCCATCTGAAGCTGTTCTATAATTCTATGGTGTGGTAAATATCCTGAAATTAGTAACAGGATTTCAGGGAGAGCCCATGTATTTGAACCCTAAATCTTCTGTTGTGCTGCTTTGTCTCCTGGATATGTTCCCTTCCTTTGTGTGCCATCAACACTTGCCCTGTAAAAATTAAATACAGCAACCAGAAAACCTCTACAGCACCGCTTTTATAGAAAATAATTGGTTTGGAATTAGCTATGGAATGATTCCTGAGAAACTTGATATGTTTTCTTCTCACATTATCTGCAGCTTGGGAAACAAAAATGGTGAGACAGTCTCTATAACACCCCTTGAAAAATACAGTGATGTTTGATAAAATGCAGCTTATTAAACTCCTTTAAAAGGGTGAATAATAGAAAGCAATATTTCAAGGGCTCTAATTTGACTAACAGTGGGCTAACAGGTGCTTTTTCTATAGTTTTCATCAGAAAACTCATAGAATCATTCTTGAAGGAGACGTGAGATGTGTATTTAAGCTGTCAAAGAAGCCAGTTCACAGACTCACGGCCCCAAAAGAAGATTTATTGATCACAGTAATGTTCTTTACAATACAGGAGGCTGAACGTACACGTTAACAAAGCTGCTGCTGTTTGCAGCAGAGGAGTGACAAGCTCCAGAAAGAATCTCATGTTATGTATTTCCTTCCCTGGTAATGCCTCTTAAGGAGCCAAACCTTGAGAAAAAAAACTATATCAGGATGAAATAAACCAAATATTCTTCTCCTGCCACCAGATCTAAATGCTTCCTCCTTCATTAATGACAGATTTAAATTAACAGGGGCTGGCAGATTGGTCTGGTGGTTTAAACAGCAGCCTGGGACATGAAAGGAGTCCTTCCATGAGGGAGTTAGCATCAAAGTGAGGCTGTGCTGCAGCTCCTCCGTAGGAGCTCATTAAACTGATGAGGCCAGCTCACCATTAATGACTTACCCTGGTGTGGCTCTGCCCTGGGGCTGGGTGTGGGCATTTCCTGCCACAGCTGGGAACATCTGCATGGCTCCCTGGTACACCGGGGAATAGATTCCACCCTGGGGAACCCAGCTGCAGGATCACACAGATGTTCCAAGACCTTTTCATTTTCCAGCAGCTCGTAGGTTCTCAGACCTTCAGCAGATCCTGTAGGTGAGAGGGGTCTCTGTAGGGATGGCTCAGAATTCCTGGACAAGGACTTGGGAGCTGGTGTTTGACAGCTTTGGTCACACAGTTTAGAGCAACAGCTGCTATTTCCATTTCTCTGGCTTTTTATGGAAGGAAGCCACAGGGGCAAACCCACCTCACTCCTCAGAACCCTTTCCCAGGACAGCTTTACTCACTTCATTATTTAGGTCATGTTTTAAAGCATGTAGCTCCAGACCAGACCTTGGGCTCACCTATAAAGTCGGAGGCCTTTCAAGAAGGATTGAAAACAGAGTGGAAAAGAGCCCATTTTCACCCAGAATTTTTGTATTTGTCATTCTCCATCCCACTGAATAATTTGGCTCTGATGCTGCTCCAAGGCATGAAATCATGGGGCTCCATTGCATCAGCCAGAAAGGGACCTGGATTGAATCTGTCCCCTTGTTCCCAAAGTGTCCAACTTGTGCTTGGGAAAATGTATGGAGACTCCAATGTGGAAAAGCCTGGAGTTGATTTGGTGCTTGACCAAGCTCCTTTTGGGAACTTCTTGCTATTATTCATCCTGAATCTTCTATGAGTTCAACCCTCATAAGAGATTTATTAAACTTCATGTTCAAGAGTGGTCATAGGAAAAGCCCTGTGGTCCTTTCATTTTGTTTGTGTATCAGCAGTTCCCTGAGGAGCTCCTCAGGCAGTTCTGAGGCTTTGTCCCCTCCAAGAATGTGTCTGACCATTCCAAAAACCCTGCTAAAGCCAAGATATTTAATATTTACTGCTTCATGTCTCTGCAAGCCTCCTTGTTCTGCCACAAAGAAAACTTTGAAGTGATTTATTCTTTAAAATCCAAGTTGTTTCCACCAACATATGTATGTCCTTCTTTTCCTATTGATGCCATTGGATTTCTAGGGGAAAAAGTTGCTCTGGCAACCAAGTTCTTGGTTTAAATTCCTGCTCTTTCCCAGGTTTTCTGCTCAATGAACACCCAAAATGACAACAGCGATTCTCATTTTACAGAAATATTATAAAGACACAGTAAATATTTGGAGTACAAAGGTATAATTAAAAATCTTCTAAATCAGGAGGTTCCGTGCAAAATGGTGATGGAGAAAGGATTACAGTGTGTAAATCTTAGGAAAAATGTTAATATGGAAAATTCCGTGCAACACATTTTCTGCATCTAAAAGCCCAGCCAGAATTAGTGGTCTTACAAATTTTCTGTCTTCTTTGAACTTGGTTTTGCCATATTAATTAAAATTACTTGTTAATCCTCACCCAGTGCATAAACAAAGCTCCCATAAACTGAATCTGTAAATATGTCCTTTGTGCTGGTATGGAAAAAACAGCTGGTGCTTATGGGAAAAAATGGAAAAGAGCCTGGCTGGGTAGATATTTTAAGGATTTGTTCCACTTTTTATCTTATTGGGATATTTTTAAGAAAATCAGGGATGCTGTTTCCTTGCATTTTTATTGCCTTTGGTAATTTTTCACACACTGAGCAGGGGAAATCTTGAACTTGAGGAACATATAAATATGTAGTACACCAAAAATTTTTACAAAGAAGGAGCTAATTATTGTGTATTTATTTGTCACGCATTAGTATTCCTAGCATAGAGAATTTTGTACTACAAAGAAAAAGTTAAAATATTTTTTGAACAAAAATGCAAACAAAACCAGGCATGAGAAAGCAAAGAACCAGGGAGAGAACCATAATTAAAAAAAAAAAAAATCCATACAGCCCCTCCTTTTGTCATTTATCTTCCTCCTACAAGCCCAATTCCATTGGTGAGATAATTCACCTAAAGGTGATGCCCAAGCAATTCTTATTTCCCTTGATTTTTTTAGAAAAGCAGCCAATAAAATGTTGAGTTGTAATCTTCAAAGTGTTTATGAGTTTAGGCAGCACTTTGCTTTTCTTTGACTTGTATTTCTCCAGAGGTTATGATGGTTTTTCCATTTGCTCAGGTCTCCCAACATCAAAATTTCTCTGTTCCTTATTTTACCAGTCCTTATTTTTTCTCTTGTACCCCTGACTGGGCTGAAAGAGCCTGACAAGTGGGTTTTTTCCCCCCTTTAATGTAGTAGTTGTCCCTACTCCTTTGGAATAAAAATAACCATCACCCTGCAGTTCCTTCAAGTGTTTCTCCTTGCTTCTCTTACCTTGTTTGATTTAGTCAAGCTCATTTTTCTCCTCAGTCACAGCAAGCCAATGTAAGGGAAAGAAATGACACAATAAAATAAAATGTAGGTTTAGTTCTAAAGGAAACAGCACCATAAAAGCACAGATGAAGACAAAAACTTTGGAATAAATTTTACTAATAAAATAGCAGTACAAAGTACCTGATGGTCCTCAACAGCTCCACATTCCTGTTGAAGAGGAAAGGTGAGAATCTGAATGATTCATAGGAAATCCTTTCACCAGTGGTGAACCACAAGCACTTCCTGAAAGGAAAGCACGGAACTACTCAAACAATATTGAGCCCACTGGGAGCTCTTGGTGTCCTGCTGCAAACATGCTCCTCACATGA